GGTTGTGTATTTTGGTGCTTAAATCTTGTAGTAGGTTAAACCAGCAAGGTGATGTGGCCAAGAACAAGCATTTGAACAGTTAAATTTTTTTCAACATATATTTCTAATTTGTGCAATTTATAGAAAATATCTTAATCATATTTAGAGCCCTCCCCCCATCTGAACCCCCTCCATACCCTCCCCCCAGATTTCACGCATTTGGAACAGTTACATCTTATCAAACATCTATTCTTCTTTTTGCTCTACCTAGATGGATAGGGTCTGTTAAAGACAGCTTGTGTTTCCTTTAGCTTTTGAAATCTGTAGTTGCTTGAAATTTCTCCCTGTATTCACACTGCCCAATAACCTCTTTCCATTCCAGAACTGAGGAACTTGAGCTGAATATTGATGAGCAGACTTGCTTAATAAAAACAATGAGTTAGTAGTAGAGTTGTTCTGAGAACCCAGGGCCAATAACTCTTCTGTCTTATGCTCCTTCTATCATGCCAGGCTCTCAGCTTTGATTTGGCTATTAAGATACATAATGTTTTACTTATTCCTGACACTTGTCCAAAACAAAGATATTGAAAATGACCTTTGATGTAGAAATTTAACCCATGTAGGCATATTCTATAAAGAAATGTGGTTCATCAAGTATAGTTATGCATCCACAGAGCCAAATCCAAGGAAAACAAAACAAAGCACAGCAAAGCAAGCCAAGGTTATGACATAGCTCCAGGGGTGCAGATGTTGGCACTCTACCAAACTATATCCATCTTTCAGCCCAATAGGTGGGGACCATTTGCAGGTTAGCCCTGTGTGCACACATCTTATAATAGAGATGCAACTACACACTTTCTGTTAACCATTAATGACAGTTCCACAACAGCATTTCAAACCATTTTGGTGTGTACTTACTTTGTGGGTTTCCTTTCCTTTAGTCATTTAAAACTTGTAAGCCAGAGACCTGAGGCTCAAGTCAGCATTGTGTGGGGTAAATAAGATGAATTCGTCTTCCTTTTACTCTTTAAGAGACAGTGTCTGAATATGTTCATCAAAGAAAGGAAATTCTGAAGAGTCTGATTGAGGTGTACGTTCCTCTCACTTATGACAGGTGCAGAGTTTGAGTCATACCAGTGGCTTGAGGTTTTCATGGTCCTGAGGGAATATTGAGACACTCATTTGTCCCCAACATGGTAGAAGGGGTTGTTTGGTTCTCTAATCCTTTTCTTTTTCTTTAAAATCACAGAGTTCAGATTTATTTAGTGCACAAATGCAAAAATTGTGTGAAGTAAAACGTTTAGAATGAATTTTTTTCTTTTTCACAATTTTTGATTCTGGTTGAAATGACAGAGTACAGCTGTACTAGCTATCACCAATGCAAGATACTTTTATGGCATCTCTTTTTTTTTTTTTTTTTTGGTTTTTTTGAGACAGGGTCTCCCTGTAGCCCCAGCTGTCCTGGAACTCACTATATAGACAGGCTGGCCTTGAACTCACAGAGCTCCGCCTGCCTCTGCCTCCCGAGTGCTCTTGTTTTGTTTCTGAGAATTTCATCTGTGAGCGCTGTATTTGTATTACCTCCATCACTCCCAGTTTCCCTTCAGCTCCTTCCATGTCCCTTCCCACTTTCCTCTCCTCTCCTTTATTACTGTTACATATACATACGTACATTTATAAATATGCATATATGTAGTACACTGAGCCCAGCTATTGGTGCTCATATAAACCCGTGTTTACGGATACCAATTTGGGATTAGATAACCTCTCAGAGAGCTAGGCCTTGGAGAAAACTGATTCTTCCTCCCTCAGCATCTATTGATTCCTCAGAGCTCTTCATGCTGAAGTAGAACTCCATGGAATTTCCCCCATCCACCTTGGCATGTCAACTGGTTTTGTCATCACGCGGATCTTGTACTAGCATACTGTGGAGATTTCATTGGTACAGCTTCCCTACCATGTCTAGAACACCTTAATTGGAAGCAGGTGTCTTGTCTCGCTGGCTCTTACATTCTTTCTGCCCCTCTTCTGCAGTGTTCCCTGAGCCTTAGTTGTAAAGGTTTCAGTGTTGATGTGTCACTTATGTCTGGGCATCTCACAATCACTCATTCTCTATGTTTGACCAGTCGTGGAGCTTTTTAATAATCTCCATCTTTGCAAGAAGAAGCTTCTTTGATGAATAGTGAGAGGTGCACTTGTCTCTAAATATTATCCATCTCTCCCCCCAAATTTGCCAGGCTCATTTTCTGGATATAACCACCTCAGACTCTTTCTCCAAAGGAGACTTATATGGAGAGTACAGTTCTTCTCTTAAATTAAGTGGTAGGATATAATGAGCTGTCAACACACACACAGACACACACACACACAAACACACACACACACACACACATGCAATACTTTAAGAAGAAATACCAATGTAATCATAGCTTTGAATGATGTAATTTATTCAAGCCAGGCTCTGCACTCCTCACTTAATCCTGTTTTATCACTGTTTGTTCTTCTGAAAAAATATGTACTATCTCACTGGTTTGTAAAATGCCCGTCATTTTAAATTTCAGTGTGCAAAATGCAGCAATGTACACTGCTACCAAGATATGAGGTCTACCTTGCATTATAACATTTTCAAATGCAATTTTATTGAGATGAGCTTTATCTAGTTTTTAACTTGCTTCTAGGGTTTCTCCATTCTAATCTGTCTCCCAATGCCCTTTGGATTTTCTTGCATATTACCCAGGATCCTTTGAGTTGTAAATAATGGCTAGAACCCAACTCAGATTAGCTTAAAGCAGAGAGAAAGAATTTGTGATCTTATTTTATTGGAAGTCTAGTGTAAAACTCTCTTGAGTCTTAAACCTCAAAATCACGTAATCAGGACATTGCCATTCTCTGTGTTGTAACTCTACTTTCTTTGGGTTAGTGTGTTCTCAGACAAGCTGTGATGAAATTCCAATCGTGTGACCACAATGGCCACTAACAGCTCCAAACGGTTTTAGGAGAACCACAGAGTTTTCTAGCAGAAATTCCAGGATCTGGCTTTCATTGATCTAACCAGAAAGTTCGTGAAGGAGGCTAAGAATGAGCTGTTCTGATTGGCCAGCCCTGTTGATGGGCTTTTCACCTGTGCTAGACTTTGCAGTGGAGGAGGGCGGATTCCACACAGGACAATCAAGACAACAGTCCTACAGAAAAATGAAATGAGGATTCAGCAGAAAATTACAGCAAAGCTCCATTTCCATCAGGAGAGCCCTTGCTGCCGGGGTGGGGGTGGGGCCGGGGAGTGCAGCATAATAATAAAACAAAGCCAAGCCATTCACAGCTGAGCCCCAGAGCCACAGCTATGCCTTCTGTTCCCAGGTTCCTGAGTGAATTAAACTCTCTAACCCTTTGTCTCGGTCTCCTCATCTATAAAATGCAGATAAAGATTTAGAGATTGGAGGAGAAAAAAGACAGTATCTAAGCATTTAAACCACTCAGCAAATGTCAGATAATTAAAATAAAATGGTTTGGACTACTTTTTAAAGACTTACTTTATGTGTATAAGTATTTGCCTGCATGCATGTATGTGCTTGGTACTTGTGGATGCCAGATGTTGAATCCCTGGGTGCTGGGAACCAAACCCCAAGCCTCTGCAAGAGCAGCCAGTGCTCTTAGTCACTGAGCCATCTCTCCAGCCTGGTTTTGGCTGCTTTTTATTTACAGTAATATGCTCTAGGGTCTTCATGTCAAATTCCTCCCAGTGGGAAAGTCACAGGCTCCCAAGACTCAGCTTTGTCATTTGCAAAACTAATTAACTACTTGTTGACAGAAATATCCATGAAGAGAATATGCTAGGCGGTTTTTTAGGAGTTGAGGATGAGAGTGATTAAAATAATGTCTTTAGCCCCCTTGAAGCTTATATTCAAGTGACAGAGACAGATCACAATTGACTAGAAGAAATCCAGGTACCACACAAAGAAAAGAATACAACAGAGCGGCTGGCAAGTTTTAGAAGACTAAGCCTGAGATTTTAGTTAGGTGGCAAGGGAAGAGTCTCTGTGGTAGTGACATTTGGAAGCTAGAGAGTGATCCTCATTGATTTAAGAAGAGAAAACAGAAGCAGAGGTCCTGGGGAGGGAGTCCACTTTGATGTTCAAGAGCACCATGGTGAGCTAGCAGGCAGTGGGAGGGGCATGCTCAAATTGAGGTTGGAGAGGAAGTTCAAGCCAGATTATGTGATGAGCACTATGGGTTCCTTGTGCTCATGACAGGAAGCTAAGGAATATATACCCCCAGAGATGATGCAATTTACATTTACAAAGTAGCTAGAAAAGATAAGGACCAGGTGACCATGAGGCAAACAGAAGGCCATACCAGGAGTGGCAGTCCTTTAGGGATGGGATACCTACTTGGACCAAAGTTTAATGGCTGTCGAGCAAGCTGAGCTGAGAAAAGTGGGGCAAAGGTGACATTTTCATAGGGAGAGTGAGTGTGCTAATGGTTTGGATGTAGTATGTGAAGCTGGATGAATGGTGGAGCCACCAACTAAGATGGAGAACCCTAGGGCTAGGGGCAGCTTTTATTTTGGGGGTAGAAAATGATGATTTCAATTAGAAATGCTTTTTGTGGTTTTTTTTTTCTTTTTCTTTTTTTCTTTTTTTTTTGAGACAGGGTCTCCCTGTGGCCCCAGCTAGCCTGGAACTCTCAATGTAGACCAGGCTGGCCTTAATCCCACAGAGATTCATCTGTCTGTCTCTGTCTCCCAAAGAATAACAAATAAGTGGATTAGAACACAACAAACAGGCACTTACATGGTCAAGTACTAGGAAACTGGAAGAACAGAAACCTTCTTCACACTCAGGAAGATGTGCTCCATCCTCAGCCTGCCACTAGCTCTTTGATATAGTACTGTTTATTAACAATTTCTACAAAACAAGTTTCAATGAACAGAAAGTAATAATTACTTGGTATTTTCTTCCTAGTAACAGAGACTTATTTTCCCATGTTACTTTCCTATCTAACATCGTGTTTCCCTGCTGCAGGATCCTGTGGGCACTGAAATCCAACGTACCCATGCTTATTTCCTGTAATGGACAAACTTGATGCTAATGTGAGGTATGTAGCAATCTGTCTCTATTGGCATGGACACTGGTACTGGGCAGCTTATGAAAAATCTGGTTTAGATTTACAAAGCTAACATGGATTTTCTTAGCTGTTCCGCACATAGCCATAAGTGTGGTATACTGTTTGATTGTTTGTGTTTTATTACTATGCTTAAATGATAAAAAACGTGGTTAATGTTTTTAGCTGCCATTACTGACAATTAGGTTGTGGAGATGCCACATAAAGATTCGTCTCTGCAAGAGGAAAGGCGATGCACTTAGATGGAGATGAAATGCATGAAGAATATCTCTCTGCATCTGAACTTCAGGTGTAAATCCATGTAGCTTGTCCAACAGGTCCTAACATATCCACTTGCTTTTTTTGCCCAGGGCGTCAGGTTATGGGAAATGACTATTAATATTCTATGTTAGTGTGCCATGGATTGTTACATTAAATGTTTTTTGTTCTATGTAACATTCTTGTAATTTTCTGCAAAATCACAGATGGGATGAGAGTTTTTTCTTATAAATGCTTGCTCTATTTGATTTGGCATAGCCAAAAAGTGCAAAGAAAATTTAATGTAGGGAGGCTTAAATGGTGTGTTTGTTTTTTCTATATCTTGAGGGTAAGGAGTACCCACCGTAGCTGAAACTGCAGCTGGAAGACATCCTAAAAACGCATACCTTGTGAAATTACAGGGGCTACATTTTTCCACAGGAGACCTGTAGAGAAGTGTGCTTCTGTTTGACATGGTAGAAAACCGTTACAAAAGGGGGTTGTCAGCTGTCTTGACAGGGATTCTAGCTTGGCATGACTTGAGCTGCACAGAGGTACTGTCACCCCACCAGAGGATTCCTTGAGGGTAGAGTGTGTCTCATGATGCCTTCCATAATCCCTGATACTTGGTGGGTATCTTATGAAGAGCTGCGGATCAGCTAGTCATCGACAGACTATACATTATTTCAAATAGGGTTATGTTCAAGTGCACCTAGATACAAAGATCATTTAGCAATAAAACATTTTACACTCTCGGCAGAAAGCATTGTGGACTTTGTTATTTACTCAGTGCATGGACTTGGTGCAGTTTTAGGACTTCACAAAAGTTCTTTATGCTGGTGGCATGTGTTTTACCTTCCTCTCAAACCTTCTGAGATTACTTGCACAGAAGAAACAGCGGAATATAGAGAACCCCAATTTTCGTTTTGTCAATTAAAAGGGCAGAGTGAGCAATGCCAACAGTGAAGCGTTATGAGACTGTTTAAGTTCCAAACACTGCATCAAACCTGGTCAGGTGGTTAAAGTGTACTTTTCTGAGGGTGATAATTCAGGCCTTATGATCCCTTACATAGACAAGTTTTATATATTTATTTATAGTAGCATTAGCTTTGGATGGCAAAATACAATTCAATTAAGTGAACATTAGCCATTCTCCTAGGGTATTGTGGAGCAATGCTGTGGGATTCAAGATGATGTCACATTCTAGACTCTATGTCTGGGCCATCCTCTCTGTCAGTTTTCTAACCAGATCCTATCAACATATGTTCCTCCTTACCCACTCCCACTCTCTACCCATAGCAGGCAAATGTCAGACTTTCTATTCCTTTCCTCCTCAGCACAGCCTCTGAATGTCCATAGAGAAGGATATCTTGGCTCACATTTACCAAATTGTGATGCATGTATCATTAATAATACCTAATGAGTTTAGGTGGCACATCAACTTTTTATTATGAATTTACTTATTTTATAATTACTCTCTTATCATGTAGAGTAATACTATTTTGATCCTTTAGGGTAATGGATGTAGTAACTACATCCATTGCAGTTAACTAAAATTTCCTTTTTATATGAATGCATTTAAAACTTGAAATTCAGCTTATGTAAAGAAAAAGGTTATCCAAAATATTTATTAATAAATTAATATTAAAAACCACAGAGCTTCTATGCAAATGGTGAGCTTCTAGAAACCAGTGTTCTGTGTGTAACTAGACAGAGTGAGTTTTATCATTTTGAAAATAGGGACTAGAAGCTCTTCTTTGGACGTGATTGTCTTTACTTGAAAGAGTACATACATAATTCAGTGAGGGGCCCTGTCTTGGGCCAGGAACATTCTTTTAGTGCGCTGCAGACCAAGGAAAATCAGTGAGAGGAGGATGGGAAGAAGAGAACAGACATTCAGGGAGGAAGAGGCCCAGCTTGCCTGCGAAGGAGCTTAGTAGTCAATGGCACAGAGGCTATAAGAGACTTTGAGATTAATTATGTATTAGAGACTATATGTTCCCTAACTAATGTATGAAACACACACACACACATGCACTTGTGATATTCATGCTGATCTCTACCAAGACTGGTTCTTTAGCAAAATTTTTTTGTTTGGCTATGAATTATGCGTTAACTATGTGCATTGTTGAATGTGTGAGGTCATAATGAGCTATAACATGGACTTATATTACCCTAATTAATATCTAAACAGTCCTACCAGGTATATAACATGATTTTCTTCCACTTTACAGCATATGAAGTTAAGACACAAAGAGGTTAAGTAACCTGCTTCAAGGCCATGGAACTACACTGCCTTCTCTTGTGATATAAATGTTTTGTCAGTGAGCACACAGCGTGTCTGTGTGTATGTGTGTGAGTTAGAGAGCTGACATTTCTGTCTGGGCAAATATGGTTTTGAAGAAAGAATGCATATTGGATAATGGACACCCCAAAGGAACAGGGTAGTGAGAGCCTATAAACACCTTGGGGGAATTTCAGAAATAACTTACTCTTCCACAGGCTGCAATATTGAGGGCTCTGATCAACTTTTCCCAGACAGGAAGGGACAAGGGAATCTTAGTTTAAATTTAAAGCTATATTGAATGTATTGTTACATTTTGTCAGACCATACTGACCATTTCAGTTTTTGTTCATATATATCTTTTCAGCATTCTTGGCTAGAAGCACCAGGAGCCAGTCCTGGAAAACATAGTCAAAGGTAATTTGGGGGCAATGATCATGTACAGGCTTAAAGAGTTAAGGCAAAACTGCTGTTTGAACATGAACAAGGATTTGGGGAATGATGGAAGAACCTGAATTGTGAAATGTGAAATGGGTCATATTCTTTGTTCATTATAAGACAAGACGAGATAAGGAACACTAGGTCTTGCTGCTAGAAATCAGAGCTGTATTGCAGTTTGCTGGGAATCTTCACCACAGAGCAATGGACGTAGGACAGACTAACATGATGAAGCCCCACAGTGAGTCATGATTATTTGGAGATAGTTCTGAGCAGTTCTTACTTTGGTAAATAAGGTCTCACAAACTTTAGAGTCAGCCAACAACTTTTGTTAGATAATCTGACACCCACAGCACTTAGGGGGTGTATTTGGGGCTCTGGGTTTCTTGTCAGCCTCTAGAGTAGACAGATGTATTCTTTTTGAAGGGAGGAAAGACAGATTATATGCCTCTAATTTTGCCCCTAACGGCTACTCTTCTAGATCTGGTTTTGGCTTGCCTTAGGGAAATTAGCTTGCTAGAGCTCTGTTTCTCCCCCCACAAACCCTGGAACCCATTTCATGGTCCCAAGAATGCATTTAAAGTGTCCCCTGACTTCAGAGACAGCCCAAACTTTCTGCTTTATCTGACTACATGCTAGTCTAACCGGTAGGAGATTTTCCTCAGTTCAAGTGTGATCCTGAAAGCAGCCCAGGTCCAATCATTTTCTTCCCACTGGTTATTTCAAATAAAAGCTGCCTGATTTCTAAAAATCTTTTTTTCTCTGTGATCGTCTAGTTCCAGAAAGTGTAGGTTTTACTCCACAACTGAGTAGGAGAAGAAAGCCCATGTAGATGGACTTGCACTTAAGATAATGGCCCAGATTTTGAGTGCAGTCTTCTTTTATGTTTCACTTCTTTTTAATGGTCTTTGCCCCGTTGGACTCCCCTCCTCACCTGCTGGGCTCTCTGAACTCTCCGACTCTGCTGCCCAGAGTCGCTGGAGCTTCCTCCTTCGTAAGAGCACCCTCATCTGTGATTCTGTTTCTTCTCTACAGAATGATCCTGTGTTCTCTTATTAATGTTTCTTATTAGCAAGCACAAAAGTATCCTCTAGGAATTAAAAGTCATAAGTGGTAGCAATCTCCTTCCTTTGCTGGGGTTCTAGGAAACAGAGCCAACTTTACAGCCATTAAAACCAGGAATAGGTAGGTATCAAGGCTTTGGTGTGCTTTTGTTTCCCAGCTTTTTTTGTTGTTGTCTTTTGGTTGGTTGGTTTGTTTGCTTTTGGATAATGCATCCTTCATTTACGCAAGCTGCAGTAAAGTGGGGAGGAAGGGAAAAGGAGGAAAGATGGAGGGAAGGAAGGAAGGAAGGAGGGAGGGAGGGAAGGAGGGAAGGGAAGGAGGGAGGGAGGGAAGAAAGGAAGGAAGGAAGGGGAGGGAAGGAGGGAGGGAAGAAGAGAGGAAGGGAGGAAAAGAGAGGGAGAACAAGCAGAATCATTTAAAAGGCAATCAACTTTATTATTATTATATTTGAATAGCTCTGAAAGTAGTACTGAGTTACTAATAAAAGGAGGTGCATCAACATAAGAGTGGAAATGCCTTAAGACTGGAGCTGTGCAAGGTGAGGATGATACTAACTCACTGGATATTTTTACCATTGATTCATACAGAGTTTGGTGTACTGGCTTGATTTAATTCTCATATCACTCTAAGGAAGAGAACTCAATTCATAAATAAGCAAAATAAAACATTGAGAGAT